TCGGCGTTGGTGGGATCGTCGATGCAGGCCGACGCGTAACACGTGCCTATCTCTATTAGCTGTATGACGTCGCACGGCAGTCACCGATATCGGTCTGGCACCGGCTTATTTATCCCTCCTTCGTTCTCTCTCTGTTGTCCTCGTGCGCTCCGCATCTCCTCGCCTCTCTCCCCTTCGTGTTTCCTTTGAACGACGCGACGTTTACACCGTTCTCTCGCTCGTGCGCCGCACGTATCCGTGACGATTCGTTGCGCTCAAACAACGAGAATACCCGTGTGTGTACACGAGGGGCGCCCGACGCCGGCAACTTCAAAGAGAACGGCAGCGGCGCTCTCGTTGATTTAGGCGGTTTATGACCATGCTGCCAGTAAAGCACCGACTAATGAGTTTCAAGCGAACCGTGTTCGTTGAAATTTACGTTCATACCACTTTCGACGGTCGCGCCTTCGTCTCTTCCTAAGTATAGGCTTCGCGTTTCGTTTCGTTTCGCCTCGTCTCGGTCCGTTTCCTTTCGTAATTATCGCGAAGCACGTTAATCGAGATTTTTACCTGTCCGGTGGTCCAGTGTCCCTTAAAATAGTAGGATTCAGTCTCGCGGTTGCGGAAGGCGGTGGAGTGGGCGGCGATGCGTCCTCGTCGTCTTCCTCGTCGGTCGCGTCCCCATCCTCTTCCTCTTTGGCTGCCGTCGTGCAACCTCTCTCGCTAGGACTAATTGGGCCGTCATCCTCCACGCAGTCGCCTTCCTCGCCCTGGAGGTCCGCGCCAGGCCCTGAGCCTTCGACTCCGTCCTCCCCTGCAACGGAAAATCGTACGATCGTTTCAGTGCGACGCGATAGCGGCCTAGACGGCGAACGGGGCGCGGTTACGCCGCGGTTACGGCGCCAGTCACTGAATCGAGGAGGAAGGAAAGGAAGATCGACGCGTCTCGTAACCACGCCGCGCCGTTCGCACCGAGAATTTGGGGAACGAGAAAAGCGAGCGTTGGAAAAGGACGCAAAGAGGCGAACAGCGAGGACGGTTGGCGCGAGACAATGCCGTTATCGGCTCATTTATCGGCCTTTCGCGGCTACGACGACGTAGAAGACC